GATTTGGGCATAATGGATTTGTGTTGTGCTGCTGCTGGCCTTTAAGAACCATCTGGGGACATACTGTGGAGTTACTGGGTGGCCACCATTTCATGTATCAGAGGCACATGGTGAGAACAATGGATGAAGCACATGGTGAGAACAATGGATGGCAGCCATTTTAACTCACAGACACTGTTTGGACTTTTCAACACTGTGCCATCTCGCCAGTATTTGGTGCACAGAGACATCGTGCAGTGGTTTTGGACTATACAGCAGGGGACACATTATACAGTGATTGTTTTTCATTTAGCCTGTATATGTTCTGTGGAATCTGCATTAAACTGTATCTTCCAAAGTACTGAGCGGATCTGGGTGAATTTTGGATATGTGGTTCACCCAGATCCCCCGGTTCCAAGGATATACTTTTTATGGGGTTATTGCATGTTTTGGGGTCCCTGTGTGTTTTATGAAACTGTATTATTTCTGGCCAGCAGATAATTGGGCTTTGTGTATTGTAGAAACTCAATTATCTAGCCTGGCCCAGAGGAGGAGTTTTGTGTTGCATAAATTGTGAGTTCTGTGTGCCAGTAAATCAGTCTTGTCCCAGCATTAAGCCTTGGCTCATGTTTGGGGGAAGGGATACCTACACTCTGGGGATTGCTATAATCACTTACTCCCCAGAGGAAGCTCTTGCAATAGCTTGATTTGTTCCTGTTCCTGCTCTCTGGGGAAGAGAGGTTCACCCACTGGAAGCTGGATCCTGGCCTTGGGTCCAGGGTGGGTGGAAACAGCAGAGACCCCGGCGCAGTTGCATCGCTGGAAGTGGGGTCTGCAGTGCTGATGGTGTCGGTTGGAGTGCTTGGAGTCCTCAGCGAGCACTAGGAGCATCGATTGGCGGAGGTACTCAGTCGGATTGCCAGCGTTCCGTCACACCCCTCTAATGGTTATGTATACTTAAGCTGATATATCTAGATACTAAGCTGTTTGAAGTAAATGCATGCAACTACTTAAATGAGAGTAAAACTTATTTTGCTAAGATCCCTTTTTGGATAATAAAGTCTAGTGTGAATTCTTATATTCAACTTGGTCTCTGTGTGATTTCTTTCCTATAACTCAATGTACTCTATCCGAACTGGGTTGTGTGCCCGCCAATATCGCTATAAACCTTAGGTATTGATTATTACTTTTTGGATATTGGTGCTTCATGAATTTAATAATTAGGCACAACATGGCATCTCTGGGAGTTCCCGGGCGGACCTCCTATCAAGGAACTATGCGCACAGCGGTGGAGCACACACCTGGGAGGTTTTGCGTTTCACCAAACACTGAATCGTGCTACTGCGCATGCGCAAAACTGTGTTCGCTATTTTGGCACCAAATTCAATTTTTTTTCATAAAAGCTGTGCAGATCCTGTCTGACCCCAAGGGTGGGTGTACAGTCCTGGTTCTCCGTGTCACCAGCACTCCTACACAGTTGTGAGGTGGTTAGAGGTGAGGTTTAACTCGTTAAACTCTCCTTTTGTCACCTATCACTATCGCATGCTCCTATATCAATGACTGTTGTTTTTTCCTTCTTCCCAGATATGTCCAATCCTATTTCTCCGGATAAGGCAGATAAAGACAAGATGTCAGCGTATGTTCCTAAAAAAAAAAAAACCACAACCAAATCTAAGCACTTATGTTGTCTGGAATGTGCTGTTCCTCCACCTGACGGATGTCGCAAAAAGACATGCAATCAGTGTGTGACAGATTCATCTGCATTGTTGGTTCGTCTGTTTCTCTTTTGTTCGCGGAATTGCCTGTTCCTATACCCCCGTTCGTGTAAGTTGCAAAATACCGATTGAAACTACCGAACGAACGACCACCCAGGAGAGGAGTGTGCTGCTGGTTAACCTCTTGGCCCCAATTAGAGCGTTGTGGTTAACCGCAGACACCTCTCCATTCCATTCGTACGGGTGGTCGTCGTTCGCATGTCGACCACGAGGCAGCGGCCATTTTGGGACATACGAACACCGAGCGGTGTTCGGTACAAACTGTATGGAACTAAAAGCGGACACTTAAACTACCGAACACCGCTGAAAAGCTGCTGCCTACCTTCCTTTTCGACAAGGCATGCGAACGTCGGTCGTTCGGGAGTTTTGTTCATTCGTATGGACTTTCGCCCCGACAGCCATCCCATGGAGTCATTCGTATACCGAAGGACTGGTGAAGGACTTTGACTCCATGGCGATTCGACTAGATACATCAGATCTGAGCGCTATTCGGTGAAAACATGCACTCAGATCCAGGCTGTCTGGGGATACGTTACACGAACTATATGCATTCGGTATTTCTTCAGTTATGTATTTTAATGTATTTTTATTACTGTAAGTTAAAATGGCGATTGTCTCTACCTTGGGAGATAATTAGGTTTCTTCCTAATTATCTCCGGGGTAGAGAAGACGGATTTATGGGTAAGATGGGAAGGGCTATTATTGAAGCCACTGCGATTGGCTACTGTCCAATATGTTTTACAGTCTTCCACAAGGTGCCCTTGGGGAGTGTCCACCTTGTGGAGACCTGCATAAATACCGGACAGGTAGCCCCCATTAAACAGATCTTCATTTGACCCTCAACACGGAGCTTGGTCTCGTTTGTGGGGGAATTATTACTGGGACA